CTCTGTGTAGATTCTGAAAGTTCTATCGAGTCTGCTATTACTAATCATAAACAAACGACCCCTCATACTGTACCCCCATTAAAAGGGAATAACATAAGTCAGCCTCAACCTGATGTGAGTAATCCTGTGAATAGTCGTAAATTTTATGACAAAAATGATTTTCCACCTTTCATTGTGCATGTAGGGAAGGCCTGTGCCCCAGCAGTGGGGACATTAATAGGCTGATGCTGCTGATTGTGCATGTCTAGGGCTGCCATCCGTCCGGGTTTCCCCGGATTTGTCCTAGTTTACGGGGCGTCCGGGGAGCGTCCGGGCGGGGTTTTATTTGTAGTCCGGGTTAAAAAATTACGGCAACGCATGAGTGGCCCTTGGTGCTGCAAGTGTCCATGGGCAGCAGTGACCACTTATTATGAGGTAGACTGCTAGCTCTTTTGCCTAGATCGACATAAAAAAATGGGTACGTGTACTTATGTAGGCGCGTGAGAAGTTATCCTTTGGCATCGTTTAAAATTAGTTTTTAATTGCATGCAAATAATGAATTACAATACATTAATAAAAAGTCTGGAAAAGGACACAGTCAATAAAGTTCAGTTTTAATTCGAAAAAATAAATACATAATCAAAATATTCAATTAAAATCGCTACTGAATATAATTTATTAGAACATATGTGATTTGCACTTGTATGAAACTCAAACACGTATTCCGAATATACAAACTAGAAACATGTGGATAAATATTATAAATATGAATACCTATAACTGTTACTTTATTACAAAAAATAAAGATGTGGTTTTTGGTTCTACTACACCAATGGTCAAGAGATGGCGCTGTAGTCTCCTGAATCGCGCTTTGGTTCCGTTGTTCCAGATTAATAAATACTTTTGATATTATAAATATGAATACCTATAACTGTTACTTTATTACAAAAAATAAAGATGTGATTTTTGGTTCTACTACACCAATGGTCAAGAGATGGCGCTGTAGTCTCCTGAATCGCGCTTTGGTTCCGTTGTTCCAGATTGATAAATACTTTTGATAGGCTTTCACAATGCAGAGATTCTATTTCTATTTTGTTGGTAGATTTTCTTAATGTGCGGTAAACACAAAAGTAACAGCATGAAGTTGGTCGCTAAAGCGACCAACTTCATGCTGTTAATTTTTTGTGTTACAGTGATGCGCGCGCATCTTAAAATTTCACTCTCATCATTTTTTCATAACGCGCCTAAAGAAGTATAACTTCAAAAAGTTGATTTGTGACATTTTTAACTGTTTTTTTTTTGGTCTGTCCGGGTTCTGGGCTCCAAAATCCGGGGTTATCACGCGTCTTATCCTGTATGCCACATTTTAGAGATGGCAACCCTATGCATGTCCAGCGTGAGCAGACAGCTTTTAATGACTCCTCCACCCTACACCCTGTGAATTTTGGTTATTTTCTTAAAAAACATAACTTTCAAGCCATAGTAGATGGCAGTGTTAAAAAAATTGGGAGAAACCGTATTGTCCTTGCCTTTAATAAATTTGAAGCTGCTAATTATTTCTTAAGTGATACGAGATTACAAGACAATAATTATAAAGCTTTTGTGCCTTCTTTCAACATAACCCGAATGGGTCTTGTGCGTGGAGTACCACATAATTGGACTCCTGATGAAATAAAAGAAATTATTTTACCCCAAAAAATATTATTTTAAATAAAATAATACATTAACAATATGTATTTTGAATTTTAACAAAAATATTTAATTTTCCCTCTAAAACGCTCATGACTGTCATGGCGTCTTGAATGACGTCACGCCGTGCAAAACAAACAGTATGCTCGCTAAAGCGACCAACTTCATGCTGTTAATTTTTGTGTTACAGTGATGCGTGCACATCTTAAAATTTCACTCTCATCATTTTTTCATAACGCACCTAAAGAAGTATAACTTCAAAAATAAAAGGAAACACATTTAAATGTAACTTGGAGCTTAAAAACTCACAGCAAACAAATGACAAATTAGCGATAGGTTAGGAATTTTCAGTGACAGCCAAAACAAGGAGAAACGGTTAGCTATAATTCATTCCGCGAGAATTGTATCTTTTGGTCGAAAATGGATAGTTCGGATAGTGACCTAAGCGAATACGAGAACGGTGAAATTGTTCCGGACGCAATTAAAGAAGTGGCGAACTATTACTATTGTGAAGATCTTTTTGATGTAAGTATTTAGCATAGCATAATCTAGGTAATCTAAATGTTACACAAGCTGGATAAATTATATTGCATTAAATTGATAAAACAATGGCAATAGGTTGAGGTTAGGTAAGTAAATTTAGTTTTATGGCATGATTTAAAGTCAATTTGAGAGTTAAGAGGTCCGTGGAGTTAAGTATATTTATTCGTATTACTCGTAATAAACACATTTCATATTCTTGTTCTAGTTGCCTAATAATATGCTAATTATACCAAGTATCATATTAAGGTTTGTTTTTTATTTTGGGTAAACTATTATTATTTGCTTTGGTAATTCCCGATGGCTGTACATATAAGGCTTTCTTACAATAATTATCTAAGAACAAACTGATAAAGTGTATCAAAGTAACAATCACATGAATGACAAATCAATAAAATCTATGAAAACTCTAACCACTAGAGCTGTAGCAAACCGTATGTATTCGGTACTGAGTAACGGGTGCGCCATCTAGTACCGAGTAACGAAACGTTACATACAAATAAATTTCGTTATTCGCATTTTTCGTAGTATGACTATCTATATGTTTCAGTTTATGCAAGTACAGTTGATGTGTGTATAGAAACATTTGCTGATCGTATGTTTTAAGCATGCTCGAGCATATTCGGAGAATTTAAAAACGTTTTTGGCCGGATTTCATCGAGTGCGGTTGGCGTCTTATTTTAATTATTCTTAAATTCGTTCATAGTGGCTATTGTGAAATAAAATTGGTGTTATTTTGTGTTACGGTACTAAATTCCATTAGTTGTGGTGGAATTTCGGGGTAGTTTTGATGTGGGGGGAGGAGGGGGTCTCCCCGACTCCCCCCCTACTAAAGATTTTAGTCGGAATTGCATGTTTTTTTTTAATTAACCTAACCTAAAATTCATATTTTTTTAGGATGCAAGGACTAGGGAAGTCAGAACCAGTAGTTCTGCCTTATCTCCGGCGCTGCGGGAATAGCAGCCCCGCCGCCTTTGCGTGACAAAGTCACAAGCATTACTCTCCTTCACACCTTCGGCTTGTTCGATGCTTGCGGCTTTGTCATAGCAGGCGGGAGCTGCTCTCCCTACGCGCCTCCGGGCTCTAAAAAACACTCTAGGGGTAGGGCAGACCAAGACCACGGCGTGTCGGGGTTGACCAAGTCGGTTCTGAATTAAAGATTGTTGTAAAGTCACATTTACCTTTTTTTCTAAGTTTCTCAAAACAAACACAAAACGGCGGGACATATGTCATTTTGACAATAGTACCAACATAATCAACATATTTTTTACCATAGACAACGAGAAACATGTTATTTCTGCATGAAAAATGGCAGCACTGATTAAAATGGCTGACAAAATTGACTTTAACCTACAAAAATATTAATTTTCAATTTTTTGAAGTTATACTTCTTTAGGCGCGTTATGAAAAAATTATGAGAGTGAAATTTTAAGATGCGCGCGCATCACTGTAACACAAAAAATTAACAGCATGAAGTTACCGCACATTAAGAAAATCTACCAACAAAATAGAAATAGAATCTCTATTTTGTGGGTGCTAACGACTGCATTGTGAAGGCCTATCAAAAGTATTTATTAATCTGGAACAACGGAACCAAAGCGCGATTCAGGAGACTACAGCGCCATCTCTTGACCATTGGTGTAGTAGAACCAAAAACCACATCTTTATTTTTTGTAATAAAGTAACAGTTATAGGTATTCATATTTATAATATTTATCCACATGTTTCTAGTTTGTATATTCGGATTACGTGTTTGAGTTTCATACAAGTGCAAATCACATATTATTATGTTCTAATAAATTATACTTAGTAGCGATTTTAATTGAATATTTTGATTATTTATTTATTTTTTCAAATTAAAACTGAACTTTATTGACTGTGTCCTTTTCCAGACTTTTTATTAATTTATTGTAATTAATTATTTGCATGCAATTAAAAACTAATTTTAAACGATGCCAAAGAAGGATAACTTCTCACGCGCCTACATAAGTACACGCACCCATTTTTTTTTTCTCGAGTTCTATTCGTTTTCGAATAAAAAGATTTCGTGTGTGTGTTCCTAATAATTAATACTTTCCGTGACAAAAATCTTAACTCGCTACTCAACCACAACTAATGGAAAGCTGAGCCGAGAACTTTATTGTCGTCTTGACTACCTCACAGAAGCTTATCGAAAAAGCCAACTTGATGGATTTCGTTTAAATTTTTTTTATAATTTTATTTTCAGAACAAAAGATTTTTGTTGTAGTTCTTTCTTTCGTTATATTTAATTTCATTCTAAGCAAAACTATTTTTATATTGATTTATCGTTAGAATGCTATTTATGTATTATTATCAATACAATAATTTTCGACACCTATTTGTTGCTTTATCATTTTAATTGATGAATAATGGATTGCGATGTTATTGTGATATAACATAAGCGCACGGTTAAAAATTTCAAAATAGTAAAACCGATTTTTTTATGAGAAGTAACGAGTAACGTAACGATACTATAGTAACGAGTATTACGAATACATAAGGGTACGCTTTTTCGTTACTTTTACACCTGTACTGCGTAGATATGCACGTTTTATTCGAAGGTATGGCAGTTCCAGTATTTACTCAAGTCAAGCCTAATCACGTCATCCCAACAATGCCAGAAACCGGAATCAACATGACATGGCTATTCTTGTTTTTACTCTAGACCACAGTCTCTCTTTTTTACTCCCTATAGTGCATGATAAGGACAGCCTGCTGTCATAATGACATATTGGCGTGCCTTGACGGATGGCATATTGGCATGACGTGTGTGACGTAAATGAAATAAAGTTTTGTGATAGTGCTAATGTGTTTGGTTTTTGCTGTATGTGGTGTTATTTATTCCTGATGCTATCGAATCGGAATCGAGGCTCGTCACCCTGTTTCGATTACAAAAGTTAATTGTGCCGTGCCAGTGGTTCAAACAACCTTTGGAATTAAGTATACGTAGTGTAATAGGGAACTGCCGACTAATAATATATACTAACACGCGCATAAAACTGTACCTTTATATTTATTATACCTTGGATTTTAGTATTTGGTAGCTAATAAAAATGTCTGAAAAAACCTCAAAGAAATCGAAGACTTCAGGACTTTCGGCAATCGGCAAATTGTATCTTCTATCTTACAATGGATTACAGACACTCGGGTAAGAATATCTTTTTACCGTAAAACTAATGATTTTCTTTCATGTACCTCCGGACTTTAGGTGAAACCTTTTTTACATGGCCAAAATCTGAAGGATGTTGTATTATATCTTTAAATTGTTATTAAAAAAATTCACACATAGAAAGTATGCCTGCTACCCAGACACATGGGTATCAATTCCCAGCTGAGGAAGGTTTTTTTATTGATATTAAAGTTACACTTGCATCATGGTTTTTCGAGGTACCGAGTAACTGCAGGTTACTTTGAACTAAAATGTGCACTTTTTTTTCAAATAAAATTGTAGCTTCTCATTGTGATGAATATGTCACGTTTATATTCGACACCAAAAAACGCAAGCCGCGTATTATAATCATAGGAGTACCTTCATCTATGACTGAAAGTGACGTCTATAAGTGCATCTATGAGCAAAACGTAGCAGAATCGTCATTAAATATATCTAGAGATACTTTCCTGAACTCTATAAAACTGAGCCACAAATCAGGAAAACGAGATGCAGACACCTGCAACTATATTTTAGAAGTACCTGCTACTATACGCAAAGCCTTAATTATACAGGATAGACTTTTTATTAACTGGAATTTTTGCTTGGTATCACAATCACACTTGTAACTAGATGCTACAATTGCCAGCAATATGGCCATGCCGCTAAAACTTGCAAGGCGACAGCTTCTACCTGTGGCCACTGTGGCGAAGATGGCCATTCTCTCAAAGACTGCACAAAAAAAGCCGATCCACCAAAATGTGCCACTTGCCTTAAATTTAAAAAACTGTGCGGCCATAGGACTGGAGATGCCGATTGTCCAGCTAAAAAAGCTGCAGAAAGTAGGTACATTAATACTATTGATTATGAAGGCTCCTAGAGCGCCACTTATTTGTTATAATTAGAACTTTACTATGGACATTAATATAATAAATGAAATAGATGATCTATCTATGTCTAATTCATGTTTATGTGAAGTCGAAGAGTGTAGACAATATCTGACCGCTTATCAAAACTCATTAACTGTACTAATCCAAAATATACGTAGTATTTATAAAAATATTGATAATTTTGATATTTTCCTCCATAGGCTTAATTTTGTTTGTGATGTAATTATACTAACCGAGTGCTGGTTAACAAAACGGAACGGCAACCTACCAACAAGGCCAGGTTATAACTTATTTTATAGTCAAAATAATCACAACCAAAATGATGGAATAGTTATTTATGTTAGAGACTCCTTGCAAGTCACCCTTGAGGAACCAGCTCTTCAAGGTTGTAGTTGTTTGTTGGTACATATTAGCCAAGATACAGTTATTGTCGCAATATATAGATCCCCATCTGTCACAAACATAGATAATTTCAACGGAAACTTAGATCAGATACTTCAATCATTAACATCTTTTAAAAACGTAATAATTACGGGTGATATTAACATAAACATTATACCTGACATACATGATGCTGGAACCCAAGATTATCTCAATCTATGTTCGTACCATGGTTTTTACCCAGCCCATACATTACCAACACATCAGAGTGGTTCTTGTCTCGACCATATGATGATAAAATCTAGGTCAACATATCTAACACTTGTCACAAAAACGCCGCTTACCGATCATTCCGCTGTCTTACTAACCTTAAATTTATCGCTGCCTAAACTGAATCATAAACTAGTAAAATCTAAGTTAAACATAAAGAAACTCGAACACGATTTATGCAAGCTTGACTTTGCCCCAGTTTTTCAATCGACGGACGCGAATGCATCTTTGTTGTATTTAATTAATAATGTTGAACAAGCTATATTACATAATACGTCTGTAGTTGCTTCAAATAAACAATATCAAACCTTGGATAACCCCGGGTATTATTCGATGTATAAGACACAGGGATAAACTTCATATGAGGACAAAAAAATATCCCGATAACCTCACATTGCTAGTTATCTATAGGAGATACAGGAATTTTGTTAATAATCTTTTGAAAAAATTAAAAGCAAATTATGAAAGAAATGAACTACTCAAAGCAGGCAAGGATAGCAAATGCCTTTGGAGACATATTAAAAATTTTACCTACACTTCAAAAAGGCACGAATCGTGTTCGAGTTTACTATTAACCCATCCTTCACCCCTTATATCAGCCAATTATGTAAATAACTATTTTATTAATATGGGAAAAAACCTTGCAGAACGCCACCAACCTCTAAATCTATTTTCTCAGTCACTTAACACTACCACTAGTAGGAATAGTTTTGTTATGTTAGATACCGACCAACAAGAAATTTTACAAATAATTACAAATTTGAAAGATGACAGTGCAGTCGGCTTTGATAACGTTAGTAATAAAATCCTTAAAACTTTTAAGCATATTTTAATACCACCGTTAACACGCATTTTTCAAATTTCAAAAAAAAAGCAGTAGTTACTCCTGTCTATAAATCTGGATGTAAAGATCAAGTAAATAACTATAGACCAATATCAGTGCTTCCATCCTTATCAAAACTATTAGAAAAAATTATTAACAAAAGGCTTATTAACTACCTGGAAAAAAATAACTATTTGTCACCTACGCAATTTGGTTTCGGGCAAAGTTGTCAACAGCAGATGCGGTGCATAACCTGACTAACTATATTACTCAGGAACTAGGCAAAGGAAAGCATACTCTAGCTGTTTTTCTTGATTTAGCAAAAGCGTTCGATACCGTTTCAATTCCGAAGCTTCTAAAAAAGTTGGAAGCATTGGGTATTAGAGGAACGCAGTTAAAACTATGGACTTTGCTGTCAGTGTGTGTGCTAGTCACATGTGTTTTTGTTGCTCAGCGAAAATTTCAAGTTTCTAGGATATTTGAATCCCCTGTTGACTTATTTTAAGTGTTTATTGTGGTGGTGGGTTTAACTGTATAGTTCACGGTAAGTTTTTACTATTTGTTCGGTTTAAAATAAGATAGTCATAATGGCGGATCCGCCAGACCCCGGTGGAGGCGACATCGAATTCGAGGATATCATACCATCGGTCTCTCTGTTCTCATCCGATCTCCCGAGCTCGCAAAAACCTAAAAAACGTGCACTTACAGACCAGGTTGCTTCACAACCTCCAAGAAAATCGAACGTTTCGCAAGATGCGTCAGTTCAGACAACATTCATTAACCCACGTTTTTCTAACAATAAAATTAAGTATTCTGAGGAGGATTGTGCCCCGTTCTTGGTCCATGTGGGCAAAAAAGCTTCAGACCCCTCGTCTGGTGCTGTCTTACGACCCCTCAAACTAGGACATTTCCTATTTCAAAATAAAATTAAAAATGCAGTTAAAGATGGCGTTAAGCGGGTAGGTAGAAACAGGATGTCAGTAGAATTTAAGACATTTACGGACGCAAATGTTTTTATTGACCATGCTGCCCTTGCTAATGCTGGTTATGAAGCAATTATTCCCAGCTATAGTATCACTAGAATGGGTGTAATAAGGCAAGTGCCAGTGGAATGGACCTTGGAAGAACTAGTGGACTCCCTAGAGATCCCACCAGGATTTGGGCAAATAGTTAAAGCCCGTAGGCTCTGTAGGAAAATATTCTCTAATAATACCCCGGAGTGGATCCCCACTCAGTCAATCGTTTTAACATTTACTGGACAAAAACTACCTTCACATGTATATTGTTTTTACACCTCTCTTCCAGTTGAGACTTATGTACTTCCCACTATTCAGTGCAACAAATGTTGCCGATTTGGACATATACAGTCCCAATGTAGGTCCCAGGCCCGCTGCTCCATCTGTGCCCAACCGCATGAGGGTATAACCTGTAACAAGGATACACCTACATGCTTATTCTGCTCTGGCCAGCATAGGGCGACTGACTCATCCTGCCCTGAGCACCAGGCAGAGGCAAATTAAAATTGTTGTCGCAGGAAAATGTGTCCTATTCTGAAGCCTCCGCTAGATTTTCTCCTGTCAGAAGATCATTTGCTGACACTGCTCGTAATGATAATGGTCTCAACACAACCCCTCCTCCCTGTCGTCCTCCCCCCCCATTACTGTCTCAGTCCCAGTCTACATCGTATCGTAAAACGATCACCCAATCCAGACCACGCCCCCTTCCTGCATTCAGTGCAGGTTACAATCAACACCTCCATAGAAGCATTGTGGAGACTCCTACCTCCCAGCTGCCCAACGGTTGTGCTTATTCGAACGATTCCTCCGTCCCTAAAGATAACCTCATGTCTCTTCTTATCTCCACCATTATAAATTTTCTCAGCCGTTTCAGTGATGTCGGCTTACCGAACAACATTCAAGACCAACTGTCTCAGCTTCTCAACCTTATATCTGTTATTAATAATAATGGCTCCAATCCTTCAATGGAATTGTCGCAGTAGCAGAAATAAAGAAAATGAAATTCTTCACCTTCTGAACAAATATTCTCCTGTCGTTTTTGCCATTCAGGAAATGCGACGCAAGCCGGGCGAGAGGGTTCGGTTCCCTGGCTTTGTGTGTTTCCGGGATGATAGAAGCGACGGACAGGGCGGTTCAGCCCTTCTCGTTTCAAATTCTGTTCCATTTTCCCATAAACCTCTTCCATCCCACAGTGAACATGTGAACGCAGTAGCGGTAGTAGTACAAAATATTACCTATATGTCAGTTTATATTCCACATCGCAACAATACAAATTTGGCAGAATTGAATGAGCTTATTCTGTCCCTTTCTCACCCAATAGTGATTTTAGGTGATTTTAACATTCATCACACTTCTTGGGGTTCTTACCATTGCGATCACTTATCCTCATCCTTTTTAGATATCTGTGACACATACTCCCTTTGTATTTTAAATGACGGTTCCCCTACCCGCAGAGTATACCCATCTCAAAATGTTAGAAGTGCAGTAGATCTGACTCTGTGCTCACCATCCTTGGCATCACTTATGATATGGACAATCCTTCCTATTACCCATGGAAGTGATCATTTCCCAATTGTCGTTTTTGGGGCAAATGACACAACACAATCTTTATCCTTAGGT